TCAGATGTGAGCCTGCAATGTGGAAGTTGCAGTGAGTGGAGATCGTACCACTGTGCTTCAACCTGGGTGACAGAATGAGACCCCGACTAAAAAAAAAAAAAGGAAGAAAGAAAAAGAAAAGTCAGTCTTCTAGGTTTTATCTAGTACAACACCTAGGTTCTCTGCATTACAGAACCAGAATGGCCTTTCTTTGGCCTGTATCTTTAATGGGGGAATAAATAAAACACAGTATTTCCCTATGATGATTTGCTTAAGGAGCTAAAAACTACCCCTAGTGTAGAGCAGTTGGGGAAGGGCAGTGCTTCTCAGTGAGGGGACTGTAGATGTGGCCAGTGCTGACTGACAGGTCTAGAGCAGGGGGATAGTATGGATGGCTAAAATGCAAGGGAAAGCAGTGAGGGCCACAGAAGAAGCATTCACGGAGTTCCATGGCAGGCAAGGGGGCACTATTGTAGATCTAGTGTGTCCTCAGCTCCCAGCTTCCCCTCCACTACCACTTATGGAATGCTAAAGACATGTATCATTTTATGCAATTCTTGAAATAACCCGAGGAGTCAGGCAGAGTATTATTATGATGTTCATTTGACAGATGACATTGAAACTTAGGTCACTTGTTCAAGGTCACAAAGACAACTTTGTAAGTGACAGAGCAAGCACTTGAACCCAGATTTTACTGTCTCCATAGCCCCTGGTTTTTTGTTTTTTTGAGATGGAGTCTCACTCTTACTCTGTCACCCAGGCTGGTGTGCAGTGGCACAGTCTGCCTCCCAGGTTAAAGCAACTTTTCGGCCTCAGCCTCTGGAGTAGCTGAGATGATAGGCACCCACCATCACACCCAGCTCATTTTTGTCTTTCTAGTAGAGATGGGGTTTCACCATGTTGACCAGGCTGGTCTTGAACTCCTAACCTCAAGTGATCCACCTGCCTTGGCCTCCCAGAGTGCTGGGATTACTGGCGTGAGCCACTGTACCAGGCCTGGAGCCCATGGTTTTAACCGTTGTCCTGTACTGTCCATGTGGGAACTTCTGGGGAAGCCCTCTCTTATCTTTTCTTTTACAGGCACGTGATTTATAGCAACCATCTGGAATAGGATGGAGTGCAAAAGGGGACTTGGGAACAATTGTCTCTCCAAGATCAAGATGACTCAGTTCTTTGATTTCTCCCCTGGGAGCCACATTGCCTGTCAACTAGAAGGTATTGGAAGAAATTAGATTGCTCCAGGGTGTTCACTTGTATGCAATTTATTATTTCTAAAGATAAGGCCTAAAGAGATATCTACATTGCATTAGTTTTTTTTTCCCCCAATGAATGAAAGCGGAAGGCCATCTGTTTAGCATTTGAGACATGCACCTGGCACACTTTGATTAAAAGAGAAAAATAAATACTAAAACATAGTAATCCAGAGAATTACCCCTTTGTAACTGGCTTACCCACTGCTTTGAGTATGGGACTCAAAGAGGGTAATTTAAATTTGGGGCTGCCAGAAAAGGATGTCCTTGTTTTCGATTAATCAAGAAGACTAAAGATCTCCCTGGGAGAGGGGTTGGATTCTGGCTTATGGTCTAACCCTAGGTCCAGATCTGAAGCTTGGAAAAAGCACTGAGAATCTGTTAGTGGGTAGGAAAGAAGGAGACATCATCTCATTCAACACCTTCCTCTAATTGTGAAATACATTAAAGCCCAGGGCACTGGATACCTGCCAATTCTTCCCCATCCCCCATCATCCAACCTGCTCTCCACCCTTTCCATCCTGTCCTGCGTCCTGGGAGGGTGACCGGTATGGATTGCATCAAGGAGTTCCCTTACCCTCTGGCTTCCAGTTTGGTAAGGCCAAAGGATAGCACAAACCCGAGATCAGAGGGCAGGAGGAGAGCGAGATGTGGGTATTATTTCCTCATCCCTCTCCCTGCAAGGGCACCCTGGATGAGCTGTATTCCCTCTCTGAAGGCCATGGCTCTTGCCTTTTCCACGCAGCTGCCAACTCTAGTCCACGGAACTGCTTCTCCCTTGCTCCTTCAAGGCTGAGGGAGAGCATGGGCTCCTTATGGTCACTAGATACTGCCCTATCTATTTTGTGCATACATCTTTGTAAATAGCCCCATTATTACACTCTAATCAAATTACCCATTTTGAATGTGCCATCTGTTTCCTGCTGGGACCCTGATGGATATACCCAGAGGGGTTTAATGACTGGCCCAAGGTCTCAGAAGGATTTGATTATATACCAGTGTGTACTAATAAGAAAAAATGTAACAGACATAGTATTTTACAGTTAACAAGGCATTTTCATAACTATAATATCAGGATGCAGGAAAGGTATTAAGCTTTCCACTTAGAGAAAAAGAAATGGAATCTTACAGAAGTGGGATTAGCCACAGCTGGTAAGTATCAGCACCATCCTCAGACCCAATTCCTGGGCTCTGCCTTTCACGCCACAGCCCAACCTTCAGGGCAGATAGAATATGAATTCTAATTCCGTGGATTAGAATACTGATTCTTCATTAGTACTACTCCACACCCTGAGCACCAGGAAAACAAATATAGCCAGAGTTCCATCCCCCAGGCTCAGAGCTTATGATGCTACACACGAAATCCAACAACCCTGTGAGACGAGTGGTGTCATCCTCTTGTATAGGCGAGGAAAGTAAGGTTCAGAAGGTGAAATATCTCCTTGAAAGTCACGCAGCTGAGAAGTAGCTGGACTGTGAAGCCAGGCCAGTTGGCCTGCTCTTTCTTCCCCCACACTGTCTCTGTGTGCAGAGATATGGATCTCTGAAGGTACTGCAGGCTGCAGGCCCAACACATCCGCTGTACTTTCTCCCATCAAAACCGTCCCAGCCTGGCTTTCAAAGTAACTCTGGGACCTCGGCCCAGCTTTCCTGTTGGGCAGCCAAGGAGGCTTTTGCACATAAAACATGGAGCAGAGCTGATTAAGACGAAGAGATAACAAGGCAAGGCAGGCCCTTTGTCTGAGACAGCCTGAGAAAAATGCAGCTGGGTCAGGGCTGTCTCTGTTGCTACTACTAAGGAGATAGGGGTGCCAGAGGGTATTCTTCAGCTTTGACAAACATCCCAATCTGCGAGGCTGAAGGATTTGATTATACACCAGTGTGTCCTAATAAGAAGAAATAAAACTGACATAGTCTACCAACTTAATGGTTTAAAAAAAATGATCCTGGGCTATTTGCCTTCATGACATAAAAGTAGAGTCAGGCAGGTACAGTGGGTCACATCTGTAATCCCAGCACTTTGGAGGTGGACGTGGGCAGATCACGAGGTCAGGAGTTTGAGACTAGCCTGGCCAACATAGTGAAACCCTGTCTCTACTAAAAATACAAAAATTAGCCAGGTGTGATGGCACGTGTCTGCAGTCCCAACTACTTGAGAGGCTGAGGCAGGAGAATCGCTTGAACCTGGGAGGCAGAAGTTGCAGTGAGCTGAGACCACACCAATGCACTCCAGCCCTGGTGACAGAGTGAGACTCTATCTTAAAAAAAAAAAAAAAAAAAAAAAAGCAAAGTTAGCATAATTGGCTGAGTGTTGACCTGGGGTCACCTACTCTCTGCATGGCTTTAAGAACTCACTTCCCAAAGCAGAGACATAGACCAATGGAACAGAACAGAGGCCTTGGAGGCAACACGACATATCTACTACCATCCCATCTTTGACAAACCTGACAAAAACAAGCAATGGGGAAAGGATTCCCTGTTTAATAAATGGTGTTGGGAAAACTGGCTAGCTATGTGCAGAAAGCAGAAAGTGGACCCCTTACACTAAAATTAACTCCAGATGGATTAAAGACTTAAACATAAGACCTGGCACCATAAAAACCCTAGAAGAAAATCTAGGCAAAACCATTCAAGACATAGGCGTAGGCAAGGACTTCATGAACAAAACACCAAAAGCATTGGCAACAAAAGCCAAAATAGACAAATGGGACCTAATCGAACTCCACAGCTTCTGCACGGCAAAAGAAACAGTCATTAGAGTGAATTGACAACCAACAGAATGGGAAAAAATTTTTGCAATCTACCCATCTGACAAAGGGCTGATATCCAGAATTTACAAAGAACTAAAACAGATTTACAAGAACAAAACAAGCCCATTCAAAAGTGGGCGAAGGATATGAACAGACATTTTTCAAAAGAAGACATATATGAGGCCAACAAACATATGAAAAAATGCTCATCATCACTGGTCATTAGAGAAATGCAAATCAAAACCACATTGAGATACCATCTCACGCCAGTTAGAATGGTGATCATTAAAAAATCTGGAGACAACAGTTACTGGAGAGGATGTGGAGAAATAGGAACACTTTCACATGGTTGGTGGGAGTATAAATTAGTTCAACCATTGTGGAAGACAGTGTGGCGATTCCTCAAGGCCTTAGAAATAGAAATTCCATTTGACCCAGCAATCCCATTACTGGGTATATAGCCAAAGGACTAGAAATCATTCTACTATAAGGACACATGCACACGAATGTTCATTGCAGCACAGTTTACAATAGCAAAGACCTGGAACCAACACAAATGCCCATTGATGATAGACTGGACAGGGAAAATGTGGCATATATACACAATGGAATATTACACAGCCATCAAAAATGACGAGTTTGTGTCCTTTGTAGGGACATGGATGAACCTGGAAACGATCATTCTCAGCAAACTGACAGAAGGAAAATCAAACACTGCATGTTCTTACTCATAGGCGGGTGTTGAACAATGAGAACACATGGACACAGGGAGGGGAGCATCACACACTGGGGTCTTTTGGGGGCAAAGAGGGGAGGGACAGCAGGGGGTGGGGAGTTGGGGAGAGATAGCATGGGGAGAAATGCCAGATATAGGTGAAGGGGAGGAGCAAATCACACTGCCATGTGTGTACCTATGCAACAATCTTGCATGTTCTTCACATGTACCCCAAAACCTAAAATGCAATAAAAAGATAATAAATTACAAAAATAAAATAAAATAAAATAAAAAAGAAGAACTCACCTCCCGGGTTTGGGCTTTAGTTTCCTTGTCTGAGATATGGGGGAGATGGGTGAATCCAACGCTCCGATACTTCTCTTTGCAATCTGTATTTCATGACTTTGGGAATCCTGAGAAATCTGTGAGTCTTCCAAGACTTCCTCTTCCTCTCCTGTTAGCAGGACATTGGAGTTACATTGTTGAGTGGTTTGCATCACTAGATTCACATTTTCCTTTTTTTTTTGACAGAGTCTTGTTCTGTCACCCAGGCTGGAGTACAGTGGCACGATTTCAGCTCACTGAAACCTTTGCCTCACAGGCTCAAGTGATTCCCATGCCTCAGCCTCCTAAGGAGCTGGGACTATAGGTGCATGACACCATGGCCAGCAATTTTTTTTACATTTTTAGTAGAGGCAGGGTTTCACCATATTGGGCCAGGCTGGTCTCAAAGTCCTGGTCTCAAGTGATCCACCTGCCTTAGCTTCCTAAACTGCTGGGATTACTGGCGTAAGTCACTGCGCCCAGCCCAGATTCACGTTTTCTTCCCTATGTATTCACATTTGTGAACCGCTGGCCAAAATCAGATGGTGGGTTGGAGTTGCAGAGCGGGCAGGATTGGATTCAGGACCTTATCAGTAAAGAATTTCAGTCAGCTTCCAATCCTTGAGTGGTGTGTTGCAGTCCTGTGAAGCACTATATGTGAAAAGCCTATCCACCCCCTTACCCGCCCCAGACCCTTACTTTACAGGAGTGAAAAGGAGAACATGGGTGCTAAGTGACTTGCCCGAGGTACCCAGTGGCCCCATGCTAGAATGGAACCTCCAGCCTCCGCATGCACTGTATTCTCATCGCCAAAGGAAATCCGTGACTGTGCTTGATGAAGGTCTAGATTTGAAGCTGCTGCTTTTAGGACTAAACAGATAAATGATGAACAGCCAGTCCCAGGAGAGGAAAACATAGAAAATGTAGATAACCAGGAGGCTGAGGCAGGAGAATTGCCTGAACCCAGGAGGCGGAGGTTGCGGTGAGCCAAGATCGTGCCATTGCACTCCAGCCTGGGTAACAAGAGCGAAACTCCGTCTCAAAAACAAACAAAACAAAAATTGTAAATAACCAAAAAGATGAAAATAAAAAGGGGTGATTCTATGCCCTGCCATTTATTTATTTATTTGACAGAATCTCACTGTCACCCAGGCTGGAGTGCAGTGGTGTAGTCTCAGCTAACTGTAACCTCTGCCTCCCAGTTTTGAGTGATTCTCGGGCCTCAGCCTCCCTGAATAGCTGGGACTACAGGCATGCACTACCACACCCAGCTAACTTTTGTATTTTTAGCAGAGTCAGAGTTTTGCCACGTTGGCCAGGCTGGTGTTGAACTCCTGGCCTCAAGTGATCTTCCTGCCTTGACCTGCCCTGCCATTTTGGCCTACACAGAGCAGGGCTCTTGTGAGATACAGTGGATCCTGGCTTCAGACCCAATAGTGTGTTAACTTCTCATACTTGTTGGCAGGTTTAACGCGACTCTGCTTTATGCTCTAGGAGGGCCCTTGGCCACAGTGTTTGCATACTCATATCAAGACAAGAGATGAAGCCTCCACAAGGAGAACAGAGAAAGGGAGGGTGGATCTCCTGACTAGCAGGGGACATGGGCTCCTTGATGGTATAGCCCAGACAATGGGGTAGGCCCCAAAACAAGCAGGTAAATCTCTAGGAATGTTTGCTCTGTGGAAAGATTTGCCTTTCTCTGATGCCCACATTTAAGAGTTTGGTCTTCCTTTCATGCATCCTAGTAAAGAGTTGCTTCCCGATCATTTTGGCACTGAAGTCTATGCTTCCTATGGCCAATTTAAAAACTCTGTTCAGGCTGGGCACAGTGGCTCACACCTGTAATCCCAGCTCTTTGGGAGGCTGAGGTGGGCGGATCATGAGGTCAAGAGATCAAAACCATCCTGGCCAACATGGTGAAACCTCGTCTCTACTAAAAATACAAAAATTAGCTGGGCTTGGTGGCGTGCACCTGTAGTCCCAGCTGCTTGGGAGGCTGAGGCAGGAGTATCGCTTGAACCCGGGAGGGAGAGGTTGTAGTGAACCGAGATCACGCCACTGCACTTTAGCCTGGCGACAGAGTGAGATGCCATCTTGAAAAAAATATAAAAAAACTGTTCAAGGCTTAAGGCATAGAATTTCAGAGGGTCAAAACCAAGAAGGACCCATGTACCTGAACCTACTTTTTTAATACATTTGGAAACTGAGGTTTAGGGGTGGAAGTTAGCTCACTAAATGTGGCACAGTAACTTACTGGCAGTGCCAAGCCTGAGACCTACATCTTTGGATTCTGTTCCATGCCCCTCAGGCTAGACATCAATCTCAGACAAGTGAGAAAATATGTTCTCATCCCGTGTGGGATGGGGAAGGGGAGTCCGTGCTTATAAATAAGTAATTAGTAGCCCTAATCCATTAACATAATAATTAGAAGCTGAAATTTGAGAGCTTTCCATGTGTTAGCAATTTTATAGTCATTATCTCAATGAATTTCCAGAGTAACCCATAAAGGAGATGTTATTACTCCAGGTTTTTCATATGAGAAAACTGAGGCTTAAAGAAGTGACACAGGGCAGGGCGCAGTGGCTCACACCTGTAAACCCAGCCAAGGCGGGTGAATCACAAGGTCAGAAGTTCGAGACCAGCCTAGCCAAAATGGTGAAACGCTGTCTCTACTAAAAATATGGAAAATTAGCTGGGTGTCATGGTGGGTGCCTGTAATCCCGGCTACTCAGGAGACTGAGGCAGGAGAATTGCTTGAACCCAGGAGGCAGAGGTTGCAGTGAGCTGAGATTGCGCCACTGCACTCCAGCCTGGGTGACAGTTCGAGATTCCATCTTAACAACAACAAAAAAAAAGTGACATGTGACACAGGCCAGGCATAGTGGCTCACACCTGTAATCCCAACACTTTGGGAGGCTGAGGCAGGCAGATCAGTTGAGGTCAGGAGGTCAAGACCAGCCTGGCCAACATGGTGAAACCCCATCTCTACTAAAAATACAAAAAAATTAGCCGGGCATTGTGGCAGGCACTTATAATCCCAGCTACTCGGGAGGCTGAGGCAGAAGGATTTCTTGAACCCAGGAGGCAGAGACTGCAGTGAGCCGAGATTGTGCCACTGCATTCCAGCCTGGGCAACAGAGTGAGACTTCATCTAAAAAAAAAAGAAGAGACATAACTTGCCCAAATTCACACAGCCAACAAGTAGTAGAGTGGGGGTAAGGACACAGGTCTACTTGATATAAAACCCTATCTCTAAGCCACTAGACTAAAATAAACAATATTGTAAAGTTTGATCTGCAAAGAGACAGACAAAACTTTTTTTTTTTTTTTTTTTTTTTTTTTGAGACAGTCTCGCTCTGTTGCCGAGGCTGGAGTGCAGCGGCGCGATCTCGGCTCACTGCAACTTCTGCCTCCCAGGTTCAAGCAATTCTCCTGTCTCAGCCTCTCAAATAGCTGGGACTACAGGTGCCCACCACTACGCCTGGCTAAATTTTGTATTTTTTATAAACAGGGGTTTCACCATGTTGGCCAGAGCTGATCTCGAACTTCTGACCTCAAGTGATCCTCTGGCCTCAGCCTCCCGAAGTGCTGAGATTACAGGTGTGAGCTACCATGCCCAGTCGCCAGACACAACTTTTAAACATCTTCTTTCCTCATAGTCTACTGTTTTAAGTAAATCCATCTAGGACTTAGCGTAATGGTTTAAAGCTGTAGTGCTCAATCTTTAGTGTAAGCTTGTCCAACCTGCAACCTGCAGGCGCATGGGGCCCAATATGGCTTTGAATGCAGCCCAATACAAATTCGTAAACTTTCTTAAAACATGATGAGATCTTTCTTTGCGATTTTTTGAACCTCATCAGCTATCATTAGTGTTAGTGTATTTTATGTGTGGCCCAAGCCAATTCTTCATCTTCCAATGTGGCCCAGGGAAGCCAAAAGATTGGACACCCTAACTCTGCTGTTTATTAGAATCACCTGAAGAGCTTCTTTTTAATTTTATTTTTATTTTCAAATCACGCAGCCTCCTGAGCCAGAGTAGGCTCAGAGAGACTCCCTGAAGAGCTGCTGCTGCTGTTTCTTTTTTTTTTTTTTTTTAATTTTTTTGAGATGGAGTCTCACTCTGTCACCCAGGCTGGAGTGCAGAGGTGTGATATTGGCTCACTGCCACCTCTGTCTCCCAGGCTCAAGTGATTCTTGTGCTTCAGATTCCCCAGTAGATGAGACTACAGGTGCCCGCCACCACGCCTGGCTAATTTTGTATTTTTTAGTAGAAATACAGTTTCACCATGTTGGCCAGGCTGGTCTTGAACTTCTGACCTTAAGTGATCTGCCCACCTCGGCCTCCCAAAGTACAGGGATCACAGGCATGAGCCACCGTGCCCCACCGGAAAAGCTTCTTAAAACCCAGATTGCTGGCCTATCCCCAGAATTTCTGATACAGTAGGTCTTGGGGTGAGGCCTGAGAACTTGCATTTCCCAGGTGATACTGCTGCTGCTGATTTGGGGACCACACAGCAGAGAGTGTCACTGATTTAAAGGAATCCTTAACAGATTCTGTGTCAGCTGAATTTTCTTGCATTGAATCTCACTTTCCAAGTAACAACTTAAGAGCAAAGTTGCTCTGCCTCAATTAAAGTGATTCATGACTTTGGGAAATAAGAAAAATGACATTACAACCTCATTATCTAACTACTACTTTGAAAGGGTTATGGAGGAGTCTTTACTTGGGGTGAATTGTCAGGAAGACTAAAATTTAGGTTAAAAAGCAGGCTGCTAACGCACATACCATTTCGTTTCCTCCTCCCTCACTCCTTGGAAAATCGAAGGTCCTAAGGAAGAGGGCAACACGCTGAGCTTAGGTCACGTGTTCATTCCTGAGCCAATCACCATGGCTAGAGGAAGGTGATGCTCTGATTGGCCAAACCTGAGTCACATGTCCATTCTTGGAGCAGGAAGTGAAGTGAATTCCAGGAAATGAATTTCTTTGAGGCGCAGAGCCTGAAAAGGCGGTGTAGCTGTTACCCTGGAGAATAAGCCGGGGATGAAGACACCAGAAAGAAGGGTAAATGGACGCCAGGTGGCAAAACCACACACGCCCACACTTCTGGTTGCTAAGCATCATTTTGTTTTTCTGCTCTTGTTCCTCTTCTGTTCCGCAGAAGCTCTCCTAACACAAAGACTGACCATTCTGTAGTTGGAAGAGGGCCAAACCCAGGAGGCCTTGAGTGAAGTGGAAAGAGATCTGGGCTGGAGATTTGGGTTTTAGTCCTGATAACTGCCACGTACTTTCTTCCCTCCCTGAGTCTCAATTTTTCCTTCAGCTGTAAGAGGAGGAGGCCGGACAGAATCTCTGTGGGGCCTTGCAGCTCTACTAGGCGTTCTGGGCAATGTCACAGGCAGTGGGACCTCCTGTGCCTCTCATATCTTAGAAGTGAAGGCAGCTTTCTCTGAACATGAGCAACCCCTGCCATGGAATGAGGCTCGCTAGAAAGTGCCTCAATTTTCGCATCAGATAATTTGTTTTGGTTTCTGACCTTAATTTCTTTTCCTTTTTTTGAAACTGAGTCTCGCTCTGTCACCCAGGCTGCAGTGCGGGGGGTGCGATCTGGGCTCACTGCAACTTCTGCCTCCCAGACTCAAGCAGTTCTTCTGCCTCAGTCTCCCGAGTAGTGAGACTACAGATGCACACCACCATGCCAGGCTAATTTTTGTTTTTAGTAGAGACAGGGTTTCGCCATGTTGGCCACACTGGTCTCCAACTCCTGGCCTCAGGCGATCCACATGCCTTGGCTTCCCAGCGTCCTGGGATTACAGGTATAAGCCACTTCGCCTGGCCCCTGACCTTAATTTCTGATTCCTAATACCTGTGCAACCCAGGCAAATTACTTAACCTCTTTGAACCTTCTAATTTAAAGTGGAGTTATGGATAATCCCTCAAAAATTGTTGAGTTAATCAAATGAGACAATGGTTGTGAAAGTATTTTGTAAGCTCTAAAGTGCTGTGCAGATGGAGGGCCCATCCAGCCAGGGTCCCTGTCTCCCAGGCCAATGTGGTTCCGGGACTCAGTGCTCCTGAGGAAAGGCTAGTGCCCACATTTAGTGAGCATGAGCCCTTCCACAATGCATGTATCTTTTACTTGTATTGATTCTAAACCTTGCTATTCCACATGTAAGTACCACATCAGAGGGTAAGCTGAAGCAACTGCGAGGGTGAGTAAGAAACAGGTCACTGATGATTCCAGATTTTGCAGAATCTATCCTGGAGTCTCTGTCTGGGGGCCCAGGACCCAGCAGCTGGCAATGAAGGAGCAGGAAGCCAGGCCCTGCCCTTCTTTTCTGACCATTCTGTCCCTTTAAGCAGGCCTTTGGACAGAAGCCTCCCTCTGACTTGTCTAGTGGGGACGGGGACAGCCACATCCACTCTGATCTCTCACAGTCATCTCAAATTCACATGTTCACTGTAATCCCGGTGCTTTAGAAAGCCGAGGAGGGAGAATCGCTTGAAGCCAGAAGTTCAAGACCAGCCTGGGCAACAAAACGAGACCCTGACTCCACCAAAAATTTAAAAATTAGCTAGGTGTGGTTGTGTGCACCTGTAGTCCCAGCCACTCAGGAAGCTGAGGTGGGAAGATTGCTTGAGCCCAGGAGTTTGAGGCTGCAGTGAGCTACTTTCACACCACTGCACTCCAGCCTGGGTGACAGAGTGAGAACCTATCTCTAAGAAAGCAAAATTAGGCCAGGCACGCTTGTAATCCCAGAGCTTTGGGAGGCTGAAGCAGGTAGATCATGCATGAGGTCAGGTGTTTGACACCAGCCTGGCCAATATGGTGAAACTCTGTCTCTACTAAAAATACCAAAGTTAGCCGGGCATGGTGGCGTGCGCCTGTAATCCCAGCTACTCGGGAGGCTGAGGCAGGAGAATCTCTTGAACCGGGAGGCAGAGGTTGCCGTGAGCTGATAGTGAGCCACTGCAATCCAGCCTGGATGACAGGGTGAGACTTTATCTCAAAAAAATAAAAAAAATAACATCTTCAAAAGAGATCTCTTAATCTTGGTCCCCACCTCCAAAATCAGTTTGCACCCAGTTTTATAAATGTCACCTGCAGCCATTCAGTGTCTCATGCCAGATACTTATGACCCTGAACATCTCTCTTTTATCCTGCCACAATCCATCATCAAATCCTAACCATTCCCCCTCTAAAGCTTACTTCAGTTCCACTCTTTTTTCTCCCATTCCCATTTCTACTACCCCTGTCTGAGACACTGCCATTGCTTACCTAACTGTTAACTTGTAATAGTTTTTCCATTTAGGGTCCTGTCCCATTACCCCAAGAGGAAGTCCGTGGAGAAAGACACTAGTAAGAAGGGTAAATGAATGCCAGGTGGCAAAACCACACTTGCCCACCCTTCTGGTTGCTAAGCAACGTTTTGCCTTTCAGTTCGGTCTCGTCTTCTGTTCCTCAAAGCTCCCCTAGTACAAGGGCTGACCTTTCTGTAGCTGGAAGAGGGCCAGACCCAGGAGACCTTGAGTGAAATGGAAAGAGAGAGCTAGGGTGGAGATTTGGCTTTTATTCTTGGTTTCCCAAATGTAAATCTGATGGCATTACTGTCCCTCTTACAAGTCTTCAAAGACTGATACATTTGGAATGACACCCAAGGTCCCCACTGTGGCCTGCTGAGCCCTGCAGGGTCTGGCCCTGCCCATCTCTCCAGGCCCTGCCTCCTTCTAATGCTTACTCCCCATTGTTCCTGACACTCCAGCCACTGGCCTTCCTTTATTTTTATTTTTTTATTTTTTTTGAGACTAGTCTTGCTCTGTTACCCAGGCTAGAGTGCAGTGGTGGGATCTCGGCTCACTGCAACCTCTGCTTCCCGGATTCAAGCAATTCTCCTGCCTCAGCCTCCCGACTAGCTGGGACTACAGGTATATGCCACCACACCTGGCTAACTTTTGTATTTTGAGTAGAGACGGGGTTTCACCGCATTCACTAGGCTGGTCTTGAATTCCTGACTTCAGGTGATCCACCCGCCTTGGCCTCCCAAAGTGCTGAGATTACAGGCGTGAGTCACTGTACCTGGCTTGCCACTTGCCTTTGTTCATTTCATGAAGATGCCACGTTCCTGCACATCACAACGTCCCAAAGTGCTTTCCTAGGCTATTCCCCTACTGGGCCTGCCCTTCCTCCTTTTTGCTCATAGCTGCTTCTATATATCTTTCAGGTATCAGCTGAAAAAGCTCAGGTTTTCAGAGTCATTCTCTAATGATACTAGCCAAGTAGTCCTCCTCCCCTTCCCTACCTCTGTCCAGATACTTTCTTTTGGCAGTCTTTGTTTTCTTCATAACTCTTACCATGATTCAGATTTATCATTGTGTTCATTTAGTTTCTTATTGCCTAGCTCCACTAAGTGCTCAATAAATACTTCCTTTTTTTGGAAGGATGCAGTGGCTCACACTTGTAATTTCAGCACTTTGGGAGGCTAAGGTGGGAGGATCACTTGAGGCCAGGAGTTTGAAACCAGCCTGGGTGACATAGAGAGACTTTATCGCTACTAAAGATATCTATATTTTAGACAGGGTCTCACTCTATCACCTGGGCTGGAGTGCAGTGGAATAATGATAGCTCACTGTAGCCTTGACCTTCTGGACTCAAGTCATCCTCCCACCTCTGCCTCCTGAGTAGCTGGGACCTCCTGCGGTATGCACTACCACTCCTGGCTAATTTTTTTTTTTTTGTAGAGATGGAGTCTATATTTATTGAATGACAGAACAAACAACAAAAATGTAAGACCTTGCTTCTGTGTCTTCTTTGGAAGATTTTCTCAAAGATGTTATACTGTGAACCAGTAATTCTGAGTACCCCATGGGAGCCAGGAATAAAAAGAGATGGTGGCACAAGACATGGTGACTCACTTAGCTCCCTTCTCTAGTCCTAAGAGTGCCCACCCAGTGCTGAAGGGGTTTTCGATGTCTTCTCTCCCTCTTCTCTCTGCAGTGGGATAAAGTGCCTGGCTGTATATCAAGTTAGTAGGCTGGCCTACTTCCGTCTGTTGTCCAGGCTGCAGTGCAGTGGTATGATCTCTGCTCACTGCAGCCTTGACCTCTTGGGTTCAAGTGCTCCTCCTGCCTCAGCATCCCCAAGTAGCTGGGACTGCAGGCATGTACCACCATGCAGGTTAGTTTTTTGGTTTTTTTTTTTTTTTGTATTTTTTGTAGACATGCAGTTTCACCATGTTGTCCGGACTAGTCTCTAACTCCCGGGCTCAAGCGATCCACCTGCTGTGGCCTCTCAAAATGCTAGGATTACAGGCATGAGCTACTGCACCCAGACTCCGTTTGCTCTCTTGACCCTGACCATGGCCTTCCCCTCCCACATGTCCACAGGTATAAGTGCCTGGAGCTCCAAGCCCTTCTAAAATGGCTTTCAGGCTGGGTGCAGTAGTTTGTGCATATACCAAGCTACTTTAGGAGGCTGAGGTGGGAGGATCGCTTGAGCCCATGAGTTTGAGGCTGTAGTGAGGTGTGATCATGCCCCTGCACTCTAGCCTGGGCAACAGAGAGAGAGAGAGGAGAAACCTTGTCTCTAAAAATAAATGAATGAATGAATAAATAAAATGGCTTTCAGGAAAGGATCCCATACATTCTGGCACACTATATGCTGGGCGCAGTGGCTCATGCCTGTAATCCCAGCACTTTGGGAGGCTGAGGCAGGTGGGTGGATCACTTGAGGTCAGGAATTTGAGAGCAGCCTGGCCAGCATGGCAAAACCCCATCTCTACTAAAAATACAAAATTTAGCCAGGTGTGGTGGCATGCACGTGTGGTCCTAGTTACTTGGGAGGCTGAGGTGGGAGAATCACTTGAACCCAGGAGGCAGAGTTTGCAGTGAGGCGAGATCGCACCACCATACTCCAGCCTGGGCAGCAGGTTAAGACTTGGTCTTGAAGAAAAAAAAAAGAAAAATAATGGACTCGATATGTTTCATAACCAACAAAAATAATAAGCCAGGATACTTGAGGTGACAAAGGAGTTTTGTGATACTTCCTGCAGGACTGATTACATAACTTAAAGGGCCTGTCACAAAATGAAAATATAGACTCCTTGTTGAAAAATTATTAAAAATTTCAAGATGATGTCAGCAGAGCATTCAGTCATGTGCAAGGGACTTTCTAAGCTGAGATTGCACACCCATGACACTGGCGCTGCTTGCTGCCTTTGGAGGCAGGCCAGGAGGCTCATTTAGATTTTCTGGGCTGGCCTTGAAAATCTCTCTGTGGACACCACAACTTCCCAGAGATCCTTTTCTCATCAGTTCAAGAATGACAGTTATTCTGGATAGAACTCTCAGCAGCCAGGATAGACCAGGCATACAAGAGGCTGCTGCCACTTCTTTTTTTTTTTCAGATGGAGTCTCTGTCGCCCAGACTGGAATGCAGTGGCACGATCTCAGCTCACTGCAGCATCTATCTCCTGTGTTAAAGCTATTCTCCTGCCTCAGCCTCCTGAGTCTCTGGGATTATAGGTGTGCACCACCACGCCCAGCTAGTTTTTTGATTTTTAGTAGACATGAGGTTTCACCATGTTGGCTAGGTTGGTTGGTCTTGAACTCCCGACCTCAGGTGATCTGTTCGCCTCAGCCTCCCAAATTACTGGGATTACAGGCATGAGCCACCATGCCTGGCCTGCTACCACTTCTTGACCGAAAACTTTCCTCGGACTCGATAGTTTATAGCTAAGTCAGCTGACTCAGAGCAGAGCCAAGTTTATTTTCTTTTATCTAGAAGCTTAAGGAAGCAGGAAAGTTGTTTTTGTAAAATTCCCTAGAAGGTAAACATGACATTTTTTCATTCTGTTTACAGGACACATTGGCATGAAGGGAATTTCTGTTGCCACCACATGTTCCTGTTTACCTGTCCTTCACACACCTCCAGCCAGCCAGTGGGACAGCTGCTGCAGTAGCCTGGTATTCCAGAACTTGGCCTTTTTGTAGGGGAGGGGAGGGACATAGAGAGGGAGAGTGTGGGCAGGCCCAGGCGGGTGACCCTGAATGAGAGTGGGAGGGGACACTAGCTTATTTCCTGAAAGCCACCGAGGGAAACTCTGAACTACATTCACCAAATTGTTCACTCAGTACATATTTATTTAAAAAACTTGTGAATAGAGGCCGGGTGCAGTGGCTCATGCCTGTAATTCCAGCACTTTGGGAGGCTGAGGTGGGTGGATCATGAGGTCAGGAGATCAAGAACATCTTGGCCAACATGGTGAAACCCCATCTCAACTAAAAATAAAAAAATTAGCCGGGCTTGGTGGCATGTGCCTGTAGTCCCAGCTAGAGGCTGAGGCAGGAGAATTGCTTGAACCCGGAGGCAGAGGTTGCAGTGAGCCAAAATTGTACCACTGCACTCCAGCCTGGGCCATAGAGTGAGACTTTGTCTAAAAAAAAAATAAATTGTGAACAGAATTGTGTATTTAATTGATTTCATTTTTGAATAGGTACTTATGGTTCAAACTCAAAAGTTACAAAAAGGCTTAACTGTGGAAAATCTATTTATTTATTTATTTAAATTGGCACATAATAATTGTACATATTTATGGGGTCCATAATTTTTTTTTTTTTTTTTAGGCAGAGTCTCATACTGTCGCCTGGGCTGGACTGCAGGGGCACGATCTCAGCTCACTGCAACCTCTCCCTCCCAGGTTCAAGCAATTCTCCTGCCTCAGCCTCCTGAGTGATGTTTTGATATATACAATGTAGGCCGGAAGCAGTGGCTCACACCTGTAACCACAGCACTTTGGGAAGCTGAGGTGGGAGGAGTGCAGGAGTTTGAGACTGCTTGGGCAACATGGCAAAACCTGTCTCTACAAAAAAAAAAAAAAAAAAAATTAGCTAAGCATGTGGTGTACACCTGTAGTCTGATACTTGGGAGGCTGAGGTAAGAGGATCACTTGAGCCCAGGAGGTCAAGGGTGTAGTAAGCTGTGATTGCACCACTGTACTCCAGCTTGGGAGACAGAGCAAGACCTTGTCTCAAAAAAAAAAAAAAAACACTCAAGCTTTTGGGTCTATAGAAAAATAAAATAAAATACATAAATAGCCTGTAATCCCAGCACTTTGGGAGGCCGAAGCAGGGGGATCATTTGAGGCCAAGTGTTCAAGACCAGCCTGGCCAAATTACGAAACTAAAAATACAAAACTTAGCCAGGTGTGGTGGCGCCCGCCTGTAGTTCCAACTACTTGGGAGGCTAAGGTACAAGGATGGCTTGAACCTGGGAGGCGGAGGCTGCAGTGAGCTGAGATGGCACCACTGCATTCCAGCCTGGGTGACAGAGAGAGACTCTGTCTCAAGAAGTAATAATAATAATAAATAAATAAAAATTCATTGTATAGTGATGAGATAATTAGTATATCTACCATCTTAAACATTTATCATTGGGAACATTCAATATCCTCTCTTCTAGCTATTTGAAACTATATATTATTGTTAACGCTAGTCATCCTACAGTGCTATAAAACCCTAGAACTTGTTCCTTCTGTCTATCTAGCTATACTGTTGTGCCATTTAACAAATCCCTGCCTACATCTTCCTTCTTCCTACTCTTATCATGAAAAATCTTTCCTACTTCCAAATAATTCATTTCCTCTCCGTGTAGGCAGTCATCATAGTTTTTTTTTTTCTTTTTCATTTTTGTGGAGATGGGGTCTTACTATGTTGCCTAGGCTGGTCTTAAACTCCTGGGCTCAAGCAATCCTCTTGCTTCAGCCTCCCAAAGTGCTGGGATTATAGGCATGAGGCACTGTGTGGTCATAACTAGTTTTTTTCTATCCCTTTTTTTGTTTGCACAAACAAGAAAATACGCACACATCTTCCCCTCCCCCACTTTTTTAAACCAGCAATAGCATAACTTAACACTTGTTGTTTTCTCCCACGTGCGGTGGCTCACGCCTGTAATCCCAGCACTTTGGGAGGCCGAGGCAGGTGGATCACAAGGTCAAGAGATCGAGACCATCCTGGCTAACATAGAGAAACCCCATCTCTACTAAAATACAAAAATGAGGCCAGGCGCAGTGGCTCATGCCTGTAATCCTAGCAGGATTACTTTGGGAGGCCGAGGTGGGTGGATGACCTGAGGTCCGGAGTTCAAGACCAGCCTGGCCATCATGGTGAAACCCCATCTTTAAAAAAAAATGAAGAAGAAGAAAAAAATTAGCTGGGCATCGTGGCACACGCCTGTAGTCCCAGCTACTTGGGAGGCTGAGGCAGGAGAATTGCTTTAACCTGGGAGGCAGAGGTTGCAGAGAGCTGAGATCGCGCCATTGCACTCCAGCCCAGCACCCGGTGACAGAGCAAGGCTCTGTCTCAAAACAAAAAAATGAAAAAAAACTTGTTGTTTTCACTTAACCATATATCCAGGAAATCTTTCTCTATATTAGTTCACAAAGAGCTTCTGTGTTATGTTATAGGTGTGCATAGTATCCTTATTGCATACCTGTATCGTAATTTGTTTAACAAGTGGACATTATTTATCAAAATACATACATACATACATACATACATACATACATACATACAAACTTTGAGTGATCAGTCCAAAATCAGAACTGATGAGACGGCTGCTGGCTGCTGTGCCCAGTGGATGCATCTCTTCTACTCCTGCCTGTCTGTGTTTTTCTGTCATCCTTTCCATTTGCGTGACAGGCAGTTCCTTATTGTTTCTGCCTTGTGAATCCTTCCTATTCTTCACTTCCCAGCTCAAATCCTCCTTGTCCCTGAAACTTCCCCTCCTTAAGGCCTGGCCTAAATATATAGGATCCCAACAGTTATTGTCTTTTTTCCTTACAGGGTAAGCTACTTTTGGGGCAGAAGTCTGGACACTCAAACCCACTTCTGTTTCTCCGCTGGAGCCTGCACAGTTGAGCCTTTTCCATAATAGGCCCACAACAGAGTGCTGGCTGCAGAGTGAGAGTGTTGGCCCTGGCCAGGTGAGGTGACTCATGCCTGTAATCCCAGCACTTTGGGAGGCCAAAGAGGGCAGATCACCTGAGGTTCGGAGTTCAAGACTAGCCTGACCAACATGGAGAAACCCTGTCTCTACTAAAAATAAAAAATTTGCCAGGCTTGGTGGCACATGCCTGTAATCCCAGCTACTCGGGAAGCTGAGGTAGGAGAATCACTTGAACCTAGGAGGTGGAGGTTGTAGTGAGCTGAGATCGCACCATTGCACTCCAGCCGGGGCAACAGAGAAAAACTCTATCTAAAAAAAAGTTGGCCCTGTAAGGTGACACTGTACATAATTGTGAGCTGGTGCTGCTTAGGGGAAGGTGATTAGCACATTGTTGCTGGAGTTCTGGCAGCTCTATTTCCCATCCAAGTCAGCACTCTCTTGTTTTCTATTTTGGGTCCTGAATGCTTAAGCAAAGGGGAAATCATCAAAAACCACAGTAGAGACTAATAGGGTGGAGGAAAAGGCAGAAATAAGCAGGTGGGGCTGGGCATGGTGGCTCATGCTTGTAATCCCAGCACTTTGGGAGGCCGAGGCGGGCAGATCACCTGAGGTCACGAGTTTGAGACCAGCCTGGCCAACATGATGAAACCCTGTCTCTACTAAAAATACAAAAAATTGGCCGGGCAGAGTGGTTCACACCTGTAATTCCAGCACTTTAGGAGGCCGAGGTGGGCAGATCACGAGAACATGGGTTTGAGACCAGACTGACCTACATGGTGAAACCCTGTCTCTACTAAAGATACAAAAATTAGCTGGGTGTGGTGGTGCCTGCTTGTAATCCCAGCTACTCAGGAGGCTGAGTAGTTGACACAGTGAGACCAAAATGCCCCACTCCACTCAGAGTAAAACCCAAAGACACTGTGGCAGCCTGTGAGGCCCTAAGCAGTCTGCTCCCTACTACCTCCCTGATCTCAGCTCCTCCTTGCCACGGTTCAGCCCACTCCAGTCACACTGGCCTCCTAACTGCTACCACTCATGTCAGATCCATGCCAGCCTCAGGCTCTTGCTGCTCTGCTGGGAAGACCCAGCAGATGCCCCTCTCCAAGACCGTGATACTTCCCTCTCTCACCTCCTTAAGTCTTGGCTTCAGTGTCACCTTCTTTTTTTTTTTCTTTTTTTTTTTTTTGAGATAGAGCCTTGCTCTGTCACCCAGGCTGGAGTGCAGTGGCTGAATCTCAGCTCACTGCAACCTCCACCTCCTGGGTTCAAGCGATTCTCCAGCCTCAGCCTCCTGAGTAGCTGGGACTACAGACACATGCCACTGCGTCTAGTTAATTTTTGTATTTTTAGTAAAGACAGGGTTTTGCCATGTTGGCCAGGCTGGTCTCACACTCCTGACCTCTCACCTCAGGTGATCCATCCACCTCTAGCCTCCCAAAGTGTGGGGATTACAGGTGTGAGCCACCATGCCCGGCCGTACTTTTCAGTTCTCTTTCGCCCTAGGGCTTTCCCCTCTGTGACACTCCCATGACCCACGAGGACCCCAGACTCTGAAGATGGGGGAGTATCCGAATTTAGTCTCCACCACCAGTGGGAGGAATACAGTATGCCGGCATCCTCTCCTGCAGCAGCCCCTGAGAATGGAGTGCATGCAAGGGACTCCTGTCCAGGGAAGGAACTTCATATTCATCCCCAAGGAACCAAGGTGGGAGAGGGGAGTGCAAAGGCGCAATCTTGGCTCACTACAACCTCCGCCTTCTGGGTTCAAGCAATTCCAATTATAGGCATAAACCACTGTGCCCAGCCTAATTTTAATTAATCTAAATTTATATTTTAATAGTTATATGAGGCTAGTGGCTACCATTTTGGACAGCACAGCTCCAGAAATTATGAGTGATGGGAAGAAAAAACTTCTTTTTCCTTTTCTATTTATTTATTTATTTTTCTTTTTTTTAAAGACAGGTTTTCACCATGTTGGTCAGGATGGTCTTGATCTCCTGACTTCGTGATCCGCCTGTCTCTGCCTCCCAAAATGCTGGGATTACAGGCATGAGCCACTGCACATGGCCGGGAAGGAAAAACTTTTAACAAAAAAAATTTAAGGTAATTTTTTTAAAGACAGTACTTTAAAGAGTTCTTTTTATATCTAGGCCGGATGCAGTGGATCACACCTGTAATTGCAGCACTTTGGGAGGCTGAGGCGGGCAGATCACCTGAGGTCAGAAGTTTGAGACCAGCCTGACCAACATGGAGAAATCCCGTCTCTACTAAAAATACAAAATTAGCGGGGCGTAGTGGCACACGCCTGTAGTCCCAGCTACTCGGGAAACTGAGGCAGAAGAATTGCTTGAATCCAGGAGGCAGAGGCTGCAGTAAGCCAACATTTTGCCATTGTACTCTAGCCTTGGTGACAGAGTGATTCTTTTTTTTTCTCTCCCTCCCATTTCACAAACCCAGAGTCTTAAAGAAAAATGTGGGAGGAAAAATCAGGATCACCCATAACATCACCAAATACAACCACTGCCACTATTTTTAAAGTTTATTTTCATCTTTTTTCTAGACACAGTCTAATTTTGCCTTGTATATATCGTTTTCAAATGGCTCCCTATGCAAATTTGACTACTGCATAAAAACAAACAAAGGGGGTCTTTGCCTTGAATTATTTTATTATCTTCGTATTGTTTGTTAGAACTCAAGGCAAACTTGTAGCCCACCAACGCAAGCCCGTCCCTTCCTTTCTTCCAGTCTATCTCTTTGCTATATTTTTATGGATCTCTATAAGTTATCTATCATTCTTTTTTGGTAAGGCAGAGTAGAAATCAATGAATTGTAATCCTGTTTGCACATTAGAATCACCTGGAGAACTTTAAAAAAATATAAATACTCAGCTAGGTGTGGTGGCTCACTCCTGTAATCCCAGCACTTTGGGAGGTCAAGGCTGTTGGATCTCCTGAGGTTGGGAGTTCAAGACCAGCCTGACCAACATGGTGAAACCCCATCTGTACTAAAAATACAAAATTGGCCAGGCATGGTGGCAGGTGCCTGTAATCCTAGCTACTTGGGAGGCTGAGGCAGGAGAATGGCTTGAACCTGGGAGGCCGAGGTTGTAGTGAGTGGAGATCCAGCCATTGCACTCCAGCCTGGGCTACAAGAGTGAAAAATCCATCTCAAAAAACAAAACAAAACAAAACAAAACAAATGAATACTCAAGCAAACTCCTAACTTAATAAAAATGTCTAGGAGTGGGGCTAAGCACCAGTATTTTGTAAAGCTTCCCAAATGTTTGTTCATGTAAATAAATAAACACATGCATAATTATGTATAATAACTGTCTATATCACTATTACATATTTTTCCAAACACATACTAGGCCTTTTTTTAAACCCCAAAATAACTAAACTTTTGTGGTATTACTGCTAAAAATGCACAGCCTGAATCTAATCATTAAGAACAGCCAGGCCGGGCATGGTGGCTCATACCTGTAATACCAGCACTTTGGGAGGCTGAGGTGGGCAGATCACCTGAGGTCAGGAGTTTGAGACCAGCCTGTCTAACATGGTGAAACCTCGTTTCTACTAAAAATTGAAAAAATTAGAGGGACGTGGTGGTGCATGCCTGTAATCCCAGCTACTCGGGAAGCTGAGGCAGGAGAATTGCTTGAACCCGGGAGGCGGAGGTTGCAATGAGCTGGGGATAGCGCCACTGCACTCCAGCTTGGGCAACAAGAGCGAAACTCTCTCTAAAACAAACAAACAAACAAACAAACAAACAAACAAACAAACAAACGAAACAACCACAAAGAAAAACCAGCCAACAAACCCAAAGAGGGGAACAATCTACAAAATATCTTCCTTGCCTGCGTTCTTCAAAAATGTCAGTGTCTCAGTAGACAATGAAAAGTTTGGAAACTAGAACAGGCTGGGAGAAGAAAAAAAAATTGGAAACTATTCCAGAGTAAAAAAAACTAAAGAGATATGACAACTGAGTATAAAATTGAATGTAAGATTTTCTTCCTCTATAAAGAAATTATTGAGAAAATTTGAGAAATTTGAATAAAATATGAAGATTTTATCATAATATTGTACAATCATCAATAAAGTATTTTGGGATAAAAGGATTTCATGTCTAATTTATTCTGAAATGATTCAGAAAAGAATATGTACATACTACATATATATGTACGCGTATGTGTATGGAGAGAGAAACCGATTAAGCAAATGCAGTAAAATGTGAACATTTGGTAGTTTCAGCAAAGGATATACTGTTATTTTTGTAATATTCTTGCAGATTTTTGTAAATCTAAAATTATGTCGAAATAAATGTTAATTTATAGAATCCTTGAACTTTGACAAGGTCCTCAGAAAAGGAATAAAATGAGGACAGAATTTTAAAGCACACACAGAAATTTTTGTTTTAGTAAAAATAACCTATTAGCTACATGGGAAGAGATGTTATTTGAGAGATTGTTTTCAGAATATAAATTAGGTTTGGGCCTTCATTTAAGCATCTGCTGATGTAAGGCTCTGACAAATGCTGGCAGAGTACCTCCAATAGAGGGCGGTACAACATTATGAAGAATAAATTATATCACATGGGTTTTGGATAAATGTTATTTAAAGTGGATTAAAGTGTTAACGAGTAGAACGGAAGTATTGAGAATCTTAGAGCTGAATTCTAACCACATCCCATTTTACAGATGTGCAAACTGAGAATCAAAAGTGGGAAAAGAACTTGGCCGAAATCATAGCCACAAGCAGCACAAATGCCTTGCAAATACAGTTGGGGCTGGGTGCAGTGGCTCATGCTTGTAATCCCAGGAGTTTGGGAGGCCAAGGTGGGCAGATCTCCTGCAGTCAGGAGTTCGAGACCAGCCTGGCCAACAGGGCGAAACCCCGTCTCAACTAAAAAATACAAAAATTGGCTGGGTGTGGTGGCATGCACCTGTCATCCCAGCTACTTCTTGGGAGGCTGGAGAATTGCTTGAACCTGGGAGGCAGAGGTTGCAGTGAGCCAAGATCACACCACTGTACTCTGGCCTGGGCAAAAGAGCAAGATTCCATCTCAACAAAACAAAACAAAACAAACAGTTGACACTCTGTATCTGTTGGTTCCATATTCCTGGGTTCTGCCTTGGTGGATCCAACCAACAACTATACTAGGTATTATAAGTAATCTAGAGATGATTTAAAGTATTTGGGAGGATGGGTGTCAGTTATATGTAAATACGAAGGCGGAATTTGGTATGGAAAATATTGAAGGCAGGGATGGTGGAGTTTGTACTGAATATGCTTTTCCTCCTGTCATTACTCCCTAAGTGATAGAGTATAACAATGATTTATATAGCAATTTACGTTGCATTAGATATTATAAGTAATCTAGAGATGATTTAAAGTATTTGAGAGGATGTGTGTCCATTATAAGCAAATATGACACCATTTCAGGGACCTGAGTAACCACGGATTTTGATATGGGTTGGGGGGTATTCCTAGAACCAATCCCTCGCAGATAGTGAGGAACAACTGTAAGAGCCACAGCACTTCTGCACAGCAAAAGAAACAGTCACTAGAGTGGATCGGCAACCAACAGAATGGGAAAAAATTTTTGCAGTTTACCCATCTGACAAAGGGCTGATATCCAGAATTTACAAAGAACTCAAACTGATTTACAGGAAAAAAACAAACAAGCCCATTCAAAAGTGGGCAAAGGATATGAAGAGACACTTTACGAAAGAAGACATATATGAGGCCAACAATCATATGAAAAAATGCTCATCGTCACTGGTCATCAGAGAGATGCAAATCAAAACCACATTGAGATACCATCTCACGCCAGTTAGAATGGCGATCATTAAAAAATCTGGAGACAACAGATGCTGGAGAGGATGTGGAGAAAAAGGAACACTTTTACACTGTTGGTGGGAGTGTAAATTAGTTCAACCATTGTGGAAGACAGTGTGGCGATTCCTCAAGGCCTTAGAAATAGAAATTCCATTTGACCCAGCAATCCCATTACTGGGTATATATCCAAAAGTCTGTAAATCGTTCTACTATAAGGACACATGTACACGAATGTTCATTGCAGCACTGTTTACAATAGCAAAGATCTGGAATCAACCAAAATGCCCATTGATAATAGACTGGATTGGAAAAATGTGGCACATATACACCATGGAGTATTATGCAGCAATCAGAAATGATGAGTTTGTGTCGTTTGTAGGGACATGGATGAATCTGGAGAACGTCATCCTCAGCAAACTGACACAAGAACAGAAGATGAAATACCGCATATTCTCACTCATAGGTGGGTGATGAAAAATGAGAACACATGGACACAGAAAGGGGAGTACTAAACACAGGCGTCTATTGGGGGGAAAAGGGGAGGGCCAGTGGGAGGGGGAGGTGGGGAGGGATAGCCTGGGGAGAAATGCCAAATGTGGGTGAAGGGGAGAAGGAAAGAAAAGCACACTGCCATGTGTGTTCCTACGCAACTGTCTTACATGCTCTGTTCATGTACCCCAAAACCAAAAATCCAATAAAAAATTAAAAAAAAAAATACTTGTAAACTTAAGAATGGCTAGGAACCCTATTTTCCTTAATTCATTTACTTTATTATTATGATTCCATGGAAGCCCCTTTCATTTTAGTTTTTAAAAAATATTTGACCTTAATTCCCAATCACTACTCCTATTCTCTCTTTTCCCACTTTGTTGAAGTGCCAATCCTTATGCTTTGAGGAAAATTTTAAATTGGAATGCTTTAGGGAGAATCTTATGTTACAAAAAGGTTTTATGCTGCAAAGACTATCAAATATGTTATAATTTAAATATGATATTCATCATTATTTACATAAATAATATAATAAAACCTTATCTAAAAAAAAAAAAAAAAGCCACAGCAATCAACCCTTGAAGTCTTACTAACATGCCAGGCACAGTACTAAGCACTTTATATGCATTATCTATGTAATTATACAATCCCTCCTCCTTTTTTTTTTTTAGCTTTGAAGTTGAGGTTCAGATAAGTCAGCAACTTGTCTGACAGCACTAAAAAATGAGATTCTGACAGCACCCATAGCTAACATGCCATTCTGTCCCACCTACTCTTAAAGAACTGATCCCTAAGAGGGGAGCAGAAAATAGTCACCAAAAGAGAATTCCATCCAATATGTACTGTTGGATATGCACCCAGCAGGAGCCAGAGATTCAGTGAAGGAAGATTCTTAGGACTGAAAAGAACAGAAAAGGAAGGTGCCCCAAAATGGAAGATGGGGGTATGAGTCTTCTAGGAAAATGGAGGCCAGAAGTAGTGGTTCCTGCTTGTAATCCCAGCACTTTGGGAGGCCAAGATGGGAAGATTGCTTGAGCCTCGGAGTTTAAGACCAGCTTGGGCAACATAATGAGACCCCTTTTTCTTTTTTTTTTGAGACGGAGTTTTGCTCTTGTTGCCCAGGCTGCAGTGCAATGGTGCGATCTCAGTTAACCACAACCTCTGCCTCCAGGGTTCAAGTGATACTCCTGCCTCGGCCCCCTCCCCCACCAGTAGCTGGGATTACAGGCATGGGCCACCATGGCTGGCTAATTTTGTATTTTTAGTAAAGACGGGGTCAGGCTGGTCAGTCTGGTCTCGAACCCCTTACCTCAAGTGATCTGCCCACCTCGGCCTCCCAAAGTGCTGGGATTACAGGCGTGAGCCACCATGCCTGGAGAAACCCTTTATCTAGTAGAAAAAAAAAAGAAAGAAGAGGATGGGCATGGGACCTCATGCCTATAATTACAGCACTTTGGGAGGCTGAGGTGGGTGGATCACCTGATGTCAGGAGTTCAAGATCAGCCTGACCAATATGGTGAAACACCATCTCTACCAAAAATAACAACAACAAAAATCAGCCAGATGTGGTGTTGGGCACCCCTAATCCCAGCTACTCTGCAGGCTGAGGCAGGAGAATTTCTTGACCCTGGGAGGCAGAGGTTGCAGTGAGCTGAGATCCCACCACTGCACTCCAGCCTGGGTGACAGAGTGTGAATCCATCTCAAAAAAGGCCAGGCGTGGTGGCTCTATAATCCCAGCACTTTGGGAGGCCGAAGCGGGTGGATCACGAGGTCAAGAGATCGAGATCATCCTGGTCAACATGGTGAAACCCCGTCTCTACTAAAAATACAAAAATTAGCTGGGCATGGTGGTGCGCACCTGTAGTCCCAGCTACTCGGGAGGCTGAGGCAGGAGAATTGCCTGAACCCAGGAGGCGGAGGTTGCGGTGAGCCAAGATCGCGCCATTGCATTCGGGCCTGGGTAATAAGAGCGAAACTCTGTCTCCAAAAAAAAAAAAAAAAAGAATAAGAAGTAAAGGAAAATGGATAGGTTTAGACATGAAGAGAAAGAAGCAGAGTAGAGAGAGGATATGGAGTGAAAATAAAGAGGGGAGGAAAAGCATCCACTCTTGCTGAGGAGGGCCTTGAGCCTAAAATATTTACTCTTCCTATCCCCACTACCCTGTGTCTCCTCTAAAGGCTCCACCAGCTGGTCTGGTTAGCTCTACTTCCAGAAACATCTATAATTCCTCCACTTCTGTTCATCTGCACTGCCACCTGCCTTCAGGCCACATCTCTCCTCACCATGGTTTCTCTTCAAAGGCCTCGACACTGGTCTCCTTACTTTTTTTTTTTTTGAGAAAAGGTCCCACTCTATCGCCTAGGCTGGAGTGCTGTGGTGCGATCTTGGCTCACTGCAACCTCTGCCTCCCAGGTTAAAGTGATTCTCAGCCTCCTGAGTAGCTTGGATTATAGGTGCGCACCACCGTGCCAGCCCACATTTAAAATTTTTTTTTAATTTTTAGTAGAGATCAGGTTTCACCATGTTGGCCAGGCAGGTCTCAAACTCTGACCTCAAGCGATCCACCCGCCTCGGCCTTCCAAAGTGCTGGGATTGCAGGTGTGAGCCATTGCGCCTGGCCTGGTCTCTTTATTTCTTTTACACTTTTCACAGTTTGTTCTCCACACAATAGCTAGAATCATCTTTTTTTTCCTTTTATTTTTTTTTGAGTAGTGTGAGAACAGATAGAATCATCTTTTAAAACAGATTATGGCTGGGCACGGTGGCTCATGCTGTAATCCCAGCACTTTGGGAGGCCGAGGTGAGCGGATCACCTGAGGTCAGGAGTTTAAGACTAGCCTGGCCAACATGATGAAACCCCGTCTCTACTAAAACTATAAAAATTAGCTGGGCCTGGTGTGATGCATGCCTGTAATCCCAGCTACTTGGGAGGCTGAGGTAGGAGAATCGCTTGAACCTGGGATGCAGAGGTTGCAGTGAGCCAAGACTGCACTGTTGCACTCCAGCCTGGGCAACAAGGGGGAATCTCTGTCTCAAAAAAATTTAATTAATTAAAAAAAAATAAAACAAATCATTTCACTTTTCTGTGAACATCTTCTTTTTACTTAAAAAAATTTTTTTTTTTAGGCTGGGCACGGTGGCTCATGCCTGTAATCCCAGCACTTTGGGAGGCTGAGGCAGGTGGATCACCTGAGGTCAGGAGTTCGAGACCAGTCTGACCAATATGGTGAAACCATGTCTCTACTAAAAAAAAATAAAAATTATTAAAAAAAAAATTTTTTTTTTGAGACAGAATCTCATTCTGTCACCCAGGCTGGAGTGCAGTGGTGTAATCCCAGCTCACTGCAACGTCCGCCTCCCAGGATCAAGCGATCTTCCTGTTCAGCCTCTCAATTAGCTGTACTACAAGGCACATGCCTGCCACCTTGAGTTTAGCCTGGCTAATTTTTGTATTTGTATATTGGTGGGGTTTTGCCATGTTGCCCAGGCTGATCTCAAGCTCCTGGACTCAAGTGATCTGCCTGCCTTGGCCTCCCAAAGTGCTGGAATTGCAGGCATGAGCCACTGTGCCTGGACCTCCTTTTTTTGCTGTTGTTTTGAGACAGGGTCTCACTCTGACACGGAGGCTGGAGTGCAGTGGTGCAGTCTCGGCTCTCTGCAAGCTCAACCTCCTGGGCTCAAGTGATTCTTCCACTTTAGCTTCCCAAGTAGCTGGGACTACAGATGCATGTCACCACACCCTGCTAATTTTTAAATTTTATGTAGAGATGGGATTTCCCTATGTTGCCCATGCTGGTCTCAAACACCTGGGCTCAAGCACTTCGCCCACCTTAGTCTCCCAAAGTGCTAGGATTATAGGCATGAGCCACCACTCCCGGCCTGTGTGAACATCTTTTATCAGCTTCCTGCTGCACTTGGAATAGAATAAAAGGTCCTGGCCAGGCTGAGTCTGAGCTGGCCCCTGCCCACCTTCCTGACCTTATCTCCTACCAATCTCCTTGCCCTCTTTACTTCCTTCAATTCATCCCGAGGACATGAGAAGCTTTTTTTAAGGGCCTTTGCACTTGCTTTTTCTTTTGTCTGGAGCTCTCTGTCTGCAGGTCTCCACCTGGCCATCCCCTTCTTACTCAGATCTTCCTTAAAAGTGTGCCCACAGTGAGGACTTGCTGACCACCAGGTCGAGCGTAGCCTCAGTGTCTTCCTATCACGGCGCCCTATTCATCACGTTGCATGTGCTCCTGCTATCACAGCCTGGCCCTCATCACTATCTGCAATAATCGTATTCTTGTATTTGCTTATTTATTGTCCATTTTTCCCTCTAGAATGTAAAGTGCATGAGGATAAAGCTTGTCTTGTTCATCACACTAGTGCCTAGAGCCGTGAGTGTTTGGCAATAGTAGGGATGTAGAGCGGGTGTGGTGGCTCATGCCTGTAATCTCAGCACTTTGGGAGACTGACGCAGGTGGATTACCTGAGGTCAGGAGTTCAAGACCAGCCTGGCTAACATGGTGAAACCCCGTGTCTACTAAAAATACAAAACTTAGCCAAGCGTGGTAGTGCCTGCCTGTAACTCCAGCTACTTGGGAGGCTGAGGTAGGAGGATCACTTGAACCTGGAAGGCGGAGGTTTCAGTGAGCTGAGATTACACCATTGTACTCCAGCCTGGGAGACAGAGCGAGACTCCTCAAAAAAAAAAAAAAAAAAAAAAGGCCGGGCAGGGTGGCTCACACCTGTAATCCCAGCACTTTGGGAGGCCAAGGCAGGCGGATCACCTGAGGTTGGGAGTTTGAGACCAGCCTGACCAACATGGAGAAACCCTGTCTCTACTAAAAATACAAAATTAGCCAGGTGTGATGGCGCATGCCTGTAATCCCAGCTATTTGGGAGGCTGAGGCAGGGGAATCGCTTGAACCCCCGGAGGCAGAGGTTGCAGTGAGCCAAGATAGCATCATTGCACTCTGGCCTAGGTAACAAGAGCGAAACTCGGTCTCAAAAAAAAAAGTAGAGATGTAATAAACAGTGATTGAGTGAATGGAGGCATGGGATGCATTGATTAGAACAAAGAATTCTCAAGAAACAAAGGAGTGGGGTAGGGAGACATATTTGAAAGGATTAGGGCGAGACTGAGGAGGGCCTCAGATTGTAGCCTAAAGCCTCTGTTTTCTGTGGGCAGTAGAGAGCTGCTGAAAGTTGTTGATTTCTTGAAAGCAAGGTTTGTTTAATACTAGTGTATAGGATGGATTAAAGAAGTGCCTAGAGGTAGCCAGTTAGGAGAGGTAGGAGACTATTGGAAATCTATAGGCTGGGCATGGTGGCTCACGTCTGTAATCCCAGCACTTTGGGAGGCTGAGGCAGGAGGATTGCTTGAGGCCAGGAGTTCGAGGCCAGCCTGGGTAACATAACAAAACCCCATCTCTACGAAACAATAAAAAACTTAGCTGGGTGTGGTGGCATGCCTGTTGTCCCACCTACTGGGGAGGCTGAAGTGGGGGGATCACTTGAGCCTGGGAAGTGGAGGTTGTTATTAGCTGAGATCGCACCACTGCACTCCAGCCTGGGTGACAGGGCAAGAATCTGTCTCAAAAAAAAAAAAAAAAAAAACATGTGGGGTGGGGGATGGTAGTGGTGGTAATCAGGTCATAGGATTTAAGAATTTAAAGTCTTAGCTCCAGAAGAGACTCAGTCCAAGTCTTTTCATGTTAGAGATAAGGAAGAATGAGATTAGTGAAAGGAAGTGACTTGCCAAAAGCGTTTCCTCTGTTTTCAAGAGATATTTCTTCTCTCTGAGTTGGGTTTCTTCATCTGGAAAATACAGAGTCAAATCCTTCTGCACAGGGCCAAATTAATATTATTATTTTAATATTATATTTTTAGACACAGGGTCTTGCTCTGTCGCCCAGGCTGGAGTGCAGAGGTGTGATTATAGCTCATTGCAGCCTCGAACTCCTGAGCTCAAGTGCTCCATCTGCCTCAGCCTCCCAAGTAGCTAGATTACCTGCCATCCCACCCAGCAGGATCAAATAAATATTATGAAAAGCATTTGTAGGTATTATGACACTCATGTTAACCAAAACTGCAAAATGAGGGGCTCGGCCAGGTGTGGTGGCTCATGCCTATAATCCAAGCACTTTGGAGGCCAAGGGGGGCGGATCACCTGAGGTCGGGAGTTCAAGACCAGCCTGACCAACATGGTGAAACCCCGTCTTTAAAAAGAAAAAAAGAGAGAGAGAAAAAAATGAGGGGCTCCCAGGAGATTTTATTATTATTTGGCCATAGCTGTGAGCTGGCTTTAGCTCAGGCCCAGATTCATTCTTTCAGCAAACTTTAGTGCCTACGAATGCAGGTCTTGTTCTCAGCACTGGAGATTCTACAGTGAATCCAGCATTCACAAGCCCTATACTAATAGTGCTTTCATGCTGCTGAAATGTGTGTGTTCTGAGATGATACGTGCTATGGAGAAAAATCAAGCAGGAAAGAGGAACAGGGACTTCCAGAGGCAGGGGAGGGGCTGGAATTGTAAATAGGGGGGGTCCAAGAGGGACTCTCAGAAAAAGTGACCGAGATTCTGGGCTGCACCTTAGCACAGTGAAGGGGGACACTTTTTTTTTTTTTGAGACAGAGTTTCACTCTTGTTGCCCAGGCTGGTGTGCAATGGCGCGATCTCAGCTCACCACAACCTTCGCCTCCCAGGTTCAAACGATTCTCCTGCCTCAGCCTTCTGAGTAGCTGGGATTACAGGCATGCACCACTGTTTGTATTTTTAGTAGAGACGGGGTTTCTTCATGTTGTTCAGGCTGGTCTCGAACTTCTGACCTCAGGTGATCTGCCTGCCTCAGCCTCCGAAAGTGCTGGGATTACAGGTGTGAGTCATGCCATCCAGCAGGGGACACTTTTTAAAGAACTATATTTGTTCTTGGGTAGCAGAGTCTTGAAGGAAGGCTGACTTTGCTAGGATTCAGGGTGAAGACTGTCGACACTGTCTTGGATCAGAGGCTACAGAAATGAAACCTTCCCCATCAGCACTCTTTTAGACCGTCAGATGTAAATTTCTGCTTCCTTCTTGAAAACCAAACCCAAGCCAAAGACTTCAGAGGATAGCATAAATAATTTGCACCAAGACTCATCTTCCAGTCTTCTTTGGGAAGGGGCAGGGACTGATATTGGTCGATTCCTACTGTATGCCAAGTGCAGTGCTAGCTTCCTCCACACGCTGTCCCATTTTATCCTCCAGGCAGCCCTGCAAGGGGGGTATTATTGTTCCCATTTTGGAGATGAGGCAACTGAGGTTCAGAGTGCCCATGTGACTTGCCCACCTCAGCACAGCTGGTAAATGATAGACCAGAGATTCAAACACCAGGCCAGTTGGCCTGGCACCATACCCTGTGCTCTCTCTGTGGCATCACAGCCTCTTCCACAGATGGAGAACTGGAGTGGTTTTGAAAGCCACTAGTGAAACCTTTCCCAAAAGGCGATTTATAAATTGTGTAATTCAACTCCTTCATTTCACATCCTAAATGAGATAACAGTGTGAATGCCTGCCTAAACACCTTATAAGCAGGGCCAGGTGAGGTGGCTCACGCTTGTAATCCCAGCACTTTGGGAGGTCGAGGCAGGTGGATCACGAGGTCAAGAAATCGAGACCATCCTGGTCAACATGGTGAAACCCCGTCTCTACTAAAAATACAAAAAATTAGCGGGGCATGGTGGTGCGTGCCTGTAATCCCAGCTACTCAGGAGGCTGAGGCAGGAGAGTTGCCTGAACCCAGGAGGCGGAGGTTGCGGTAAGCTGAGATCGTGCCATTGCACTCCAGCCTGGGTAACAAGAGCGAAACTCCGTCTCAAAAAAAACAAAACAAAACAAAACAAAACAAAATACCTTATAAGCATACAATGAATGTTAGTTTTCGGTCTGCAGATTAGAGAGGAGGTTGCTTGCCTGAGATCGCACAGCAGGTTAGCTGCAAAGATTGTACTCAAAGGCAGCCTCTGGATCTCCAGATCCCTCTGTCCTAGATTCACTAACGTTGGAGCCACTTCAGGTTTAGTGGTCAAAGGCTGTATTGTCAATGACAAAGAGAAAGCGGAAGAACTGTCAGGCTACAGAGGGGCAGATGCCCAGTTCTCAAGACCCCATGGTCAGGAAGGGAACAAGAAGAAAGCGGGAAGCTCTGCCCCACTCCTCCCCATCCCCAGATGGGGAGGGATGGAGAAGCGAGAGAAAACCTCTCTAGATGGCTTTTGTTCACATTTACAGCCAAGCGGTATTTATTCAGCACCGCTGGGTGCTAGACACCAAAGATCAAGAACTGAGTGGAGGAGCAAAACTTATCTCAGCCCCTGGTGCTGGCAGGTTAGTTAGTGGGAGGAACAGATGAACAAATAGATTGGGAAACCTACCACTGGGGTCAGCAGAAGGATGAGTGATGTGTTCAAGGCTGCAGGACTGGCAGGCAATGTCTTCACACCGTCGTTTCTGGCAGAAATTGCCTAAAAAATATTCACTTCTTCATCAGTGAGCTGTGATCATGTAAGGTTTCTATAAAAATGATGATTATGGCCAGGCAAGGTGGCTCATGCCCGTAATCCCAGCACTTTGAGAGGCTGAGGAGGGAAAATAGCTTGATCAGCCTGGGCAACATAGTGACACTTTATCTCTACAAAAAAGAAAAAAATTAGCTGGGTGTGATGCTGTGAGCACACCTGTGGTCCCAGCTACTTGGGAGACTGAGGTCACTTGAGATGGGAAGATTGAGGCTGCAGTGAGCCATGATCACACCTTAGCACTCCAGCCTGGGTGACAGAGAAAGACCCTGTCTCAACAGAAAAATTACTTTTTTAAAAAAAGGATAATTATAAGGAAATAGTGGGGATGGGTAGAGGTATGGGGCCAATAACAGGGAGCAGCTGAAAACTAACGGGGGTTGCTAGGTTGAGCACAGTGGCTCAGCCTGTAATCCCAGCATTTTGGGAGGCTGGGGCAGGCAGAACACTTGAGGTCAGGAGTTCGAGACCAGCCTGGCCAACGTGGTGAAACCCCCGTCTCTACTCAAAATACAAAAATTAGCCGGTTATGGTGGCACATACCTGTAATCCCAGCTGTTCAGGAGGCTGAGGCAGGAGACTCATTTGAACCTGGGAGGCAGAGGTTTCAGTGAGCCGAGATCACGTCACTGCACTCCAGCCTGGAAGACACAGTCAGACCCTGTCTAAAACACACACACACACACACACACACACACACACACACACTCTTAAGCTGCACAGACACCCATCTGTTGCAGTGAATTTGTTTCTCCAAGTTCTTTGCTTTAAGAGGCAAGGTGGTGGTGGTACTGAGAGCTGGTGTGGGGCTGGCTGTCTAGGCTCCTCATTCACTAGGGTAACCTTAATAACAATGATAATGACAATTGTAATGTGGTGGGGAAGAAAGAGCGAGGGAAAAAAGGCTGGGGGAGGGCCAAGTCTGGAGAAGGCGTGGTTTGCATTTCGTTTTCCCAGCAACCAATCAGATCACTTTATTATTATTCCTTTTTCACAGATGAAAAGACAGAGGCTCAGACAACTCCAAGGCCACGCAGCTGATGAAAATTCTCATTTAAAGCCATGTAGGCTTTCTTTCTCCATCTGTTTGGGGGAGGTGGGTTGTGACACCAGGACTCAATTCCCTCTCTTTTAATGAGAAAATGCCACGTGGGGGAGGTGGGGAGGGTGGGAGGAGTCCCGACGATTTCCGTTTCTAGGACTGAAGCCTCCCTACTTTTGGAGCTGCCTCGCTTTGTTTGGGAAAGTCACGGGGAGGGCCTTTCTGAGAATAGGAGTCAAATCCCCGCCCATTGTCTTTGGGGACGAGGGTGGGTCACCCCAATCTCCTCGCAGATGTAGCGGACTGCGCTAGGAGTTCTCTTTAGCGATGTGAACTGGGTGTCTTTTCAGACCTTCACCCTTGGGGAGTCGGGGAGAAATAGCATTCATGGAGAGAGATTCCAAGTATTCACTCATTCACTCATTTCCTTGTGTCTGGAGTTCTACTAGGCTTTGGGAAGGCACTGGTGAGTTACCCCCAGCTGAATCTTGGAGGAATTGAAAGAGCAGCACAGCAGCCCAGAATAGGGCCGCTAGTAGGATTGGAACTGACAGTTGGACCTGTGAAGCCACCTGGGGTCTTGATGTCATGGTAGTGCCCTCATGGAGTTAAAACATTTCAGAATAATAAAGGGCTCTGAATCATATTGATACTCGGATATTTTAAAATCAGAAAGCTCAAGTGGGAGATAAGAGAAATTTACAGTTAGGGAATGCAGCTTAGAGAGGTGGTTGGCTGGTTATCTTTTGCATTTATATGTTAAATTTGAATTTAAATGCCTTTGGGTGGGGGTTGCAAAATTCCTTGGGTCTCACTAGTCTGTTGATTCACATACAGTATTTATTGGCCATCTGCCTCAAAAAAAATAGTGAATAAGTTGACATTCATTCCACGTAGATGTCTGTACACACACACACACACACACACACACATAGTTTTGTTTTTCTGGGGCTCAAGTGATTATCCCACTTCGGACTTCTGAATAGCAGAAACTACAAGCCTGTGTAACCACACTGGCTCCTTTTTTTTGAGACAGGGTCTCACTCTGTCAGCCAGGCTGGAGTGCAGTGACACAATCTCGGCTCATTGCAACCTCTGCCTCCTAGGTTCAAGCAATTCTCCTGGCTCAGCCTCCTGAATAGCTGGGACTATAGGTGTGCACCACCACGCCTAACTAATTTTTGGATTTCTTTGGTAGAAACAGGGTTTCCCATGTTGGCTAGGCTGTGGGGTTTTTGTTTTGTTTTGCTTTTTGAGATGGAGTCTTGCTCTGTCACCCAGGCTGGAGTGCAGTGACACCATCTCGGTTCACTGCAACCTCTGCCTCCTGAGTTCAAGCAATTCTCCTGCCTCGGCCTCCTGAATAGCTGGGACTACAGGTGCATGTGATCACGCCCAGCTAATTTTTGTAATTTTAGTAGAGACAGGGCTTTACCGTATTGGCCAGGCTAGTCTCAGACTCCTGACCTCAGGTGATCCACCCGCCTTGACCTCCCACACTGCTGGGATTAGTGTGGGCCACTGTGCCCAGCCTTTTTTTAAGTAGAGACAGGTTTTCACTATCTTGCCCAGGCAGGTCTCACACTCCTGAGCTCAAGTGGTTCTCTTGCCTTAGTCTCCCGAAATGGTGGGATTAAATGGGTAAGCCACTAAACCCAGTGGGGTTTTTTTTTTTTTGGAGAATGGGTCTCTCACTCTGTGGCCTAGGCTGGAGTATAGTCATTATGATCTCGGGTCACTGCAGCCTCAACCTCCTGAGCTCAAGCAATCCTCATGCCTCAGCCTCCCAAGTAGCTGGGGCCATAGGCAGGCACCCCAATACCTGGCTAATTTTTGTATTTTCTATTTTGTAGAGACAGGGTCTCACTATGTTGCCCAGGTGGGTCTCCAGCTCCTGGGCTCAAGCGATCTTCCCTGCTCAGCCCCAAAGTGCTGGGATAAGAGCCACCCCGCCTGGACCCCCATGTGTATATTGAGAGCTACTATGTGCCGGCACTTTTCTAGGTCTTGGGAATACAGCAGTGAAGAAAACAGACAACAATGGAACTTGGATTTCATTGTGGGTCGGGGGAGATCAACAGAGAAGATACAAGCTAGACGGTGGTAAGTCCTGAGGAGGAAGGTGGGAAAGGGGACAAGGAGTGTGGAGGAGCAGTCAGAAGCGTTGGCCATTGTAGGCTTCACTGAGAAGATGAATATTTAGTAAATACCTGATTTAGTTGAGAGAGCTGGCCACGTGGCTGTCTGGAGCAAAAGCATTCTAGGCAGAGAAAACAACAAATGTGGCAGCCAGGCGCGGTGGCTCACGCCTGTAGCCCAGTACTTTGGGAGGCCGAGGTGGGTGGATTACCTGAGTCAGGAGTTTGAGACCAGCCTGGCCAACGTGGCAAAACCCGTCTCTACCAAAAATACAAATATTAAGGCTGGGTGCAGTGGCTCACGCCTGTAATCCCAGCACTTTGGGAGGCTGAGGTGGGCAGATCATGAGGTCAAGGGATCGAGACTATCCTGGCCAACATGGTGAAAACTCGTCTCTACTAAAAATACAAAAATTAGCTGGGCATGGTGGCGCACACCTGTAGTCCCAGCTATTTGGGAGGCTGAGGCGGGAGACTCGCTTGAACCCGGGAGGTGGAGGTTGCAGTGAGCTGAGATTGAGCCACTGCACTCCAGCCTGGATGACAGAGCAAGACTTCATCTCAAAACAAAACAAAAAAAAACCCAAAAATTAGCTAGTCAGGGTGGTGCGTGCATGTAGCTACTTGGTGGTTCCAGCTGGGAGGCTGAGGCAGAATTGCTTGAACCTGGGAGGTGGAGGTTGCAGCGAGCCTGGGTGACAGAGGGAGACTCTGTCATTAAAAAAAAGAAGAAGAAAAGAAAAAAGGAAAAGCAAACAACAAATGCAAAGCCCTTGACATGAGACCAGGCCTGGTGTTTCAGAGGAGCCCCGTGGACATGCCGCATACTATTCTAAGCTTTCTCACTCCTGGGGGCAGGTACTGTTATTTACCCATTTACAGATGGGCAAACTGTGGCCAGAGATGATAAGACACTTGCTCCAGGAGGTAGCTGCTAAGGAAGGCAGAATTTGTGCTCTTAAATACTAAGCTATTAAATCATTAAAGAAATGATTTAATTAGCCTGGGTAGACCCAGGTACCAAAGACTTATACCTCCAGCTGCCAGTGAACTTTCCAAGCCCTTAAGGAAAACCTGGGTGTGGTTGTAGGGGAAGGAGTGACTCAGGCCTTGGCTGGCTTCCTGCTGAGTCACTGCTCCTGGGCCCAGGAGGGAGGCTCAATCCTCATCTCTTCGCAGTGGCAGGTTCCTGCCTTTTTGGGGGAGATGCCTGGCGCCAGGCCTTAACCGCACACCATCGGTGGATGAATTTGTCTCACTTTCCTAACGGCTTCGTTGTGAAATTGTGGGTGGGCTCCGTTTCCTAATGTGACTCTCTGGCCAGCAAGAGGGAACTTTCTGCCCAGGCTAGCACTTCATTCTCCAAGCCATCCTGGATGAAGAGGTTCTGCCCCTTAACAGGCTGGCTGTCTTCCATCTCATCTCAGCTGGACCATCTGTGTGCTTGGCACGCCCACAACGAAGTTGAGCAAGATGCCAGGGGAGCCACATGTATCACCCTGGGCCTCGTGATGCTCACTCCAGACACATTCACAAATACAGCAAGTAATAAATGGGTAAGGACTGTGATGTGGATGCCAAGTGCCATGGCACCAAGTTTGTTAGTACTTCAAACCGAGAGTCAGCCAGGTGTGATGGTGTGTGCCTGTAGTCCCAGCAACTTGGGAGGCTGAGGCAGGAGGATCGCTTGAGCCCTGGAGGCAGATGCTGTAGTGAGCTTTGATTGTGCCATTGCACTCCAGCCTGGGTGACAGAGTGAGACTTCTCTAAAAGCAACAAATGGGCTGGGAGTGGTGGCTCACGCCTATAATCCTAGCACTTTGGGAGGCTGAGGTGGGTGGATCATCTGAGGTCAGGAGTTTGAGACCAGCCTGGCTAACATGGTGAAACCTTGACTCTAATAAAAATACAAAAAATTAGCTGGCGTGGTGGTGGGCACCTGAAATCCCAGCCACTTAGGAGGCTGAGACAGGACAATCACTTGAACCTGGGAGGCGGAGGTTGCAGTGAGCCGAGATTGCTCCATTGTACTCCAGCCTGGGTAACAAGAATGAAACTCCATCTCAAAAAAAGAAAATAAAAGAAAACAAAAAACCAGAGATTCATGTACAATAATAATAGCTAACATACAGTGAGCATTTAAACTGTGCCAGGCAATATTCTAAGCACTTACCATGTTTGATTTCATTTTTGTAACCCTCACAATACCTTATAAGGGAGGGACTTCCTATTTTGTAGATAAGAAAACACAGAGATGTCATAGCTAGAAAAGGGCGGAAAGGACAGCAGGGACAAAATCCTGGAGTCAGGAGGGTCTGGGCTGGATTTAGGGAGCTGCAGGGAGCTGCTGGGAGCTGTGGTAACGGGCTGGAGGAGGAGCAGAGTTACAGTGAGAGATAAGGCTGGAGAGGACAGTAGGGCCAGATTCAGAATTTGGTCTGGAGTTCAGGGTTGGTAGGGAGCCCCTGAGGACTTTTGAGCATGTCTTTCCTCAGTGCCTCAGCTGCTGCTTTTTTTTTTTTTTTTTTTGAGATGAAGCTTAGCTCTCGTCCAGGATGGGATGCAATGGCGCGATCTCAGTTCACTGCACCCTCCACCTCCCAGGTTCAAGACGTTGTGCTGCCTC